TAATTTGCCCTGAGAATCTTTTAATAATGTAAGTTGAAGCTTGAATTTTTTCTTCAGTTCCCCCAGCTTGAGAAATGCTGAGCATGTTCTTCTTTTTTGTCAACTCTACTTTGAGGAGGCAGCTCTTCTCCAGTTGCGTTTTGAGTGCCTTCCAACCTGAGGGGCTCATTTTCCGGCACTATATCTGACAGTGTTTCCCTGCTATTCATAAGGTTTTCAGTGACTAAATATTCGGAAGTAATTCGTCACTCCTTCTTCCTAGTCTGTCTTCATCTGGAAGCTCATCTGAAACCTGTCCACTATGGGTGACCCTGCTGGTATTTAAAATACCAGTGACATAGCTTTCAGAATCACAGCAACTCACAAACCACCACAGTACGACAAACTGACAGACGAGTGGTGGCAGATTTATGGGAGTGGGTCATTAATTAGATCAATTCTGAAGGAAATAGGATTTAAAAGGGTGAGTAGATGCACTGCCCATAAAACTACTGGATTTGTTGCCAGAGACTAAGAGAGCAGTTTAGATCTTTAAATTCTGAAAACGGTGTATTAAAATCACCCACTATTATTGTAGACCTTTAAATTCTGACAGAGATAGATTTTTGATACCAAAGACTTAAACTTCTGAAATGTTGGGGATGAAAAGATGACAAGGGAATTTTCCAGCCTCTTCCTGTTGGTTTTCATATTCATGCTGGTGTTTTTGAGTCAGTAAATGAGAGGTATTGACCTGGGCAAATTTTGTAAAATATACAGACATTTCAGAATCAACTTACATTTTCATAAAGTGGATCCTGTAATAGCTATTTCTGAACAGCTGTAATCGCAGTAGAGTCCCTGGATGGTGCAAACAGTTAATGTGCTTGGTTGCTAACCAAAAAGTGGTCTTTCAAGACCACCCAGAGGCACCTGTGAAGAAAGCCTTGGCGATCCACTTCCAAAAAGAAAAAGCTCGTGGAGCACAATTCTACCCTGACACACATGGGGTTACCATATGTCAGGAGTGACTCCATGGCAACTGGTTTTTATGATCAGGACATCAAAGGGTTCCTTAATGAAACAGATGATTGTATTTAAGCCATCACTGTGAGTCAGATTGACTGACATGTATTGGCTGATCATGTAACAATTGGTAAAATTCTCTTCAATTCAGACTATGTTAGCTCATTTTATGTTGTGAGTCCTAATAAAATTAGTCGTCACTTTATAAGTTTTAACCTAAGAATTCTATCATTGTTGCTATGGAAACCAACATTAGAAATTGTGGGCTGAGAACGAAAAAGAAATCAGTGGTAAACATAAATAAACTGCATGCCAAGTAAATTGCTTTTTTATGGAAAAAAAAAAAAAATTGTGATACCTGGAGCCAAGCTGGGATTAATGAGGTTCTGAGCTGATCGTGTAACTAAGAACCTGACTGATTTTTCTCAGAAACACTATAGACAGCATATTGTAAAATCTTTAGAACCGCATTTTCATCTGGAAACACATGCACATAGCTTCCACAATTGTGCGAAAAGGAGTGAGCTTCTGGTAGCCTCAGGTAGCAGGGACACACACACTCCTTGGTTTAAATAGAAATGGGAATCTGTCAATTGAAAATTCTGTTCTGGCTAGAGAATGGAGACAAGAACAGAAGGAAGACTGGGCCTGAACCAGACTTCAGGGAAGCCATCTGTTGTTTTTATAGAGGTGGCTAGTGGTATGGAATAAAGGCCTAGGGGAGGCAAGCAGGTATACTAGCATCAGCTATGATCCCCAGGCGCAGTGAGTGCCCTGTGAATTGGCTACTGCAGTTACTTACCACTGGTTGATATTTATTTCAGTACATTTTTGTGTTTGTGTCTTTGAAAGGGTAAGGAATTACCTGTAGTTTTAGCATTCTTCTAATCTTGACGATGAGAGACCAGGGAACACACAGAGCTAGAGTTGAAGCTGGATGACATCTTGTTGCTGTTGTCACTTGCCATGGCGTTGGCTCCAACTCCTGGTGGCCCCACGTACAAAAGAAACATTGCCCGGTCCTGAGTCACCTTCATGATCATTACTACAGCCACTGAGTACTTTAGGTATCTTCTATCTTAGAGCATTAATCTTCCAGCACTATATTGGACAATATTCTCTTGTTACCCAGAATGTTGGCTGATTTTCCAAGGTAGTTCACCAGATCTTTTCCCTAGTCTGTCTTAGTCTGAAAGCTCTGCCAAAACCTGTCCACCATGGGTGACCTTGATGGTGTTTGTAAAACTGGTGGCATCATAGCAACCTACATGCACAGCAGACGGATGGAGGGTGGAGATGAGATCTCAATATGTTGCTGATGTCAGAAATGGAGGCTTAGAGAGGTGAAAGGATTTGTGGGGATCACACCTACCTCAGGGATGGCAGTTCCCATAACAAGACTCAGACTGAGCTACCTTCCATGTTTTTGTAGGCTGATTTTTCTCTCCCTTAGATCTTCAACTGCTGCTACTTTGAGCAATTTTTTTTTCCATAAAATACTTTAGTTAGAGCAGTAACCTTGCCCTATTATGTCAGGTGTGACCAAATAAAATGCGCTTTATTAATTTTAAATGATACCCAGTTTTATCCAAGAGAGGAAAAAAACGTAATTTCTGTGGTTTTCTGAAATACGGCTTTCAAATAATTTATTCATGTATATTCAACCATTTTGTGACCTGGGGGACAGATAGTGCCCACCTCTGTCTTCTGCCTCTGGGGTTTAGTGGGAAGCCATTATCCATCTGTGTAAATCTGAAAGGATGACCCTCATCCCACCAACCCCAGTGCCAGAGATCTCTCAGGACATGTGTGTCCCACTAATTGTATCAATGTTCATATTACCTTTAAAAAACTTTTGTTCATGTCATTCCGAAATGACTTCCATTACAGAAAGCACATAGTTTCAACAAACAATTGAAAGCAGCAAATAACTTGGCTTGAAGTGTTGTGTGTTCTTTTGTCACCACGGAGACATATGGACATATTATGCTTTGATGTAACTGACCTGCTTTATGGGCTAGTTGAATGTTGGGGACAGTAGTAGGTAGCTCAGTGCTAGAACTTTTTACTTAACCTATGTCAGTAGGGAGTCCTGGTGTGGTGTTGTGGGCTAATGCGTCAGACTGCAAAGTCATTTGAACTGCCGGGTCGGTGGATCAAGCTCACCAGCTGCTCCTTGTAAAGCCTGTGCAGGGTTGCTGTGGGTCGGAATCGACTTGATGGCACTTAACAACAACAACAACATGACAGTAGAGACTCGTGCGTTTCTATGAAGCTCAGTAGATTTCAGTGGAGCTCCCAGGCTAAGACAGACTAGGAAGAAAGGGCTGGACATCTACTTCCAAAAATCAGCCAATGAAAACTGCATGGATCACATGGCCTAATCTGCAACTGGTCCCTGCAGTCCCAAGTAGCATTTCCAGAAGTCAGAGGTCAAGTCCGTGGTAACCATGCTGTGTTAGGTGTCACTGACTGAGACAGAGCTATCATTTTTCTGAAAATTCATGTTAGAACAACAATAATATTACCCATAGGTTGTAGCAGTTTGGTAAAAAGTTGTTGTGGAGTTGTAAAAATTGACCCTAGTATAAAGGAATAGAGTTTCAGGAACAGAGTTCTATTTGCAGTCAGATCATAAGACCTCGTTCTCTGGATAGCAATGATGACTGTGGTATAGGAGTAAAGTTGTATGATATCACTCAGCAGGTTTAAGTTACAGAAGCATGTTTTTCTTTTTGATCTCCTCTAGAAAGACGGATCCATTAGGGCAAACATGCGGAGCTCAGCCAAACCCTGGAGCCCGGTTGCCAAAACTGGGAGCCATGGAACTGACCGTGTGCGGCCTCTCCCTGCATCTACTTCCGGCATGAAGAGTTCCAAATCTTCAACCTCGTTGGCTTTTGAGTCTCGACTCAGCAAGGTATGGACCAAAATGTGCAGAGCAGCGCTGTTGGGTCCCCAGGTGGTTCCTGCATTGGGAGGATTGAGGAGTGCAATAAGTAAACCTAGTGGACTATTGATGGAGGGTGAGCAGCGCCCAACAGGACTTAATGAACAAAAGAGGTCATGGCAGAAGTGCTTTGGGGTAGAGAAAGGAAATTTGCAAAATGTTGAACAAATCTAGGTTCTCTGCCTTGGATCAGGTGTCCTTGGGAGGTGCAAAGGATTAATGTACTCAGTTATTGAGTCCACCTCGGAAGATAGTCCTGGTGATTGTCTTCTGAAAATTGAGCCATTGAAAACCTTATGGAGAAACAACCTAATGTCCATCAATGAATACATGAATCAACAAAAAGGGTTACATACGTACAAAGAAATGCTCATCAGCAATGAAGTTCTGATATTAGTGCTACAATCTGAATGAACCTTGAAAAATTATGCTGAGTGATATAAGTCAATCACAAATGACGAATATTATATGATCTCACTTCACATGAAATAACAATAGGCAAATGTGGTGTCCAGAGGCAGAAGGAAGGGATTAAGGAAGGAGTGAGTTTATGCTTATGGTGATGGGAAATTTGGTAACGATTATGGGTGGTGGTTACACATAACACCTGATTAAATTGTTAAGCACTGTCCAATCAGTTGCCACTCACAGCAACCTTGTATAGGGTTTCTGAGGCTGGAAATATGCTAGAGCAGAAAAACCTCATCTCTTGAATGCCTTTGCATAGTCAATGAAACACAGGTCAACATCTTTCTGGTGTTCTCTGCTTTCAGTCAAGATCTAGCTGACATCAGCAATGATATTCCTTATTCTATGTTTTCCTCTTGAATCTGGCTTGGATTTCTGATAGCTCCCTGTGGATGTATTACTGCAACTGTTTTTGAATTATCTTCAGCAAAATTTTACTTGCATGTGATATTAACATTGTTTGATAATTTCCACATTCTGTTAAAACACCTTTCTTTGGAATGGGCACAAATACGGATCTATTCCAGTTGGTTGGCTAGGTAGCTGTTGTCCAAATCCCTTAGCATAGACCAGTGAGCCTTGCATCTGGTTTTAGAAGCATTTCAATTAGTATTTTCTCAACCTTGGAGCCTTGTTTTGTGTCAATGCCATCAGTGCCGCTTGGACTTCTTCCTTCTATACCACCAGTTCCTGAAATGTTGACCGTTGATCGATGCTTTTTGATACAGTGAGTCTGTGTGTATTCCTTCTATCTCCTTTTGGTGTTTCTTGTGTCTTAGTATTTTACCCATGTTATTGCTGTTAAGTGCTGTCCAATAGGTGCCAAATTCTAGTGACCCTATATAATGTTTCCAAGGAGCTCTGGTAGCGTAGTGGTTACGAATTGGGCTGCGAACCTTAAGGTCAGCGGTTCGAAACTACCAGCCGCTCCGTGGGAGAAAGATCAGGCTTTCTACTCCCGTAAAGATATACAACCTCGGAAACCCTGTACAGGGTCGCTATGGATCAGAACCGACTTGACGGCACTTAACAACAACAGCAACAAGGAGCAATTGGTGGGTTTGAACCTCCAACCTTACAGTTGGCAGTCCAGTGCTTATCCTGTAGCCACACCAGGACTCCATTTTGCCCATTTGTTGTTAGTTGTTGTTAGGTGCTGTTGAGTGTGTTCCTTCTCACAGTGACCTTGTGCACAACAGAACAAAACACTGCCTGGTCCTGCGGCAACCTCACAATCATTGTCATGTCCATTGCTGCTGCCATTGTGCCAATCCATCTTGTTGAGGGTCTTCCTCTTTTTTGCTGGCCCTCCATGTTACCAAGCATGATATCCTTCTCCAGGGACTGGTCCCTACTACTAATAGTATAGGAGTCTCAGTGTGGTGCTATGGGTTAATGTGCTAGACTGCAAAGTTGCTCTGACCACAAGGTCAGCAGTTCAAACTCATCAGCTACTCCTCAGAAACCCTATACAGGGTCGCTATTGGGTTGGAATCAACTAGACGACACACAACAACAATAATAATATGTTCAAAATATGAGAGATAGTCTGGAGCATTTTGCTCATTGTTGTTGTTATTAAGTGCCATTAAGTTTGTTCCAACATATAGCAACCCTGTATAGGGTTTCCGAGCTGAGCTTGAACTGCCAACCTTGCAGTTTAAACCAATTTTTCAGTCTATCACATTAACCCACAGTGCCACAACAAGATTCCATTTTGCCCATAAAATCGTTCAATATTGTAACTCAACTCTTGAATTATTTCTTCAATTCTTTCACCTTGAGAAATGTGTTGAGTGTGTTCTTCCCTTTTGGTAATCCAACTTCAGGTTTCTGGACATTTCATTATAATACTTTACTTTGTGTTTTTTTGAGCCATTCTTTGAAAACTCTTTTACTTTATTATTTCTTCCAGTTTCTTTAGAAAGCAAGAGCAAGTTTCAGAGTCTCTTCTGACATCTATTTTAGTCTTTTCTTTCTTTGATGTATTTTTTATGACCTTTAACTTTCATCACGTATGATGTTCTTGACGTCATCCCACAACGCTTGTTGTCTTTGATAATTAGAATAGAAAAAGAAACGGAAAATCGTTTATGATTAAGTGACCCCTACTTGCATCCATAAATTCTCGAGCATAACGACACTAAAAGGCCTTAGACGCTTCTTGGAGTGCAATGAATGTGGCAGACTGTTGAAGGGTTTCGTTTCAGTGACTCAGATCCAGGAAGGTTACTGCAGAGTGAGTAACATGATGGTATTGAATTAGCGAGCACTCTTGGTAAAGCTCTGAATGAAAAAAAAACAGTCTTTCCTTGTTTTATGATGCTGGTTGAATTCTTAGACTGTTCCATGCATATGAAAATGGTACCAGAAACATTGGTTTAGATGCAAAAATGGAGGGAGACTCTAGGCTTAGACAATAAAAAAGGTATTCCGTCTGCATGAGGCTCTTCAGAATATGGAAAGATTGTGCATATGTGCAACAGTTCTTGTGCAAGACTGTTACATGCAGGACATCTAGAGTTCCTGTATTCCCACCAATTAAATACCTCTAGTCATGCTGACAATTAAAAATGGCCCCACCAATTCTCAACATCTTCCTGAGGGACAGCACTCTCCCATTGAACACAGTCGTTCTAGGTAGCAGTGTCATTCTCATGCTTTTAAACCTATCTCTTAATATTATATGTGAATGACTTCCAAGCTTGCCTCTCCAGCCAGGACCACTCCAGATTCATAAATCCAACTACTGACACGACGTTGCCCTTTAGATACCGTAAAAACGATGTCAAATGTATTATGTCCAGAACTGAATCTTGATTCCTCCTTTGTCCGCTCTCCTTCTCCCTGCTCCTCCTGAATAGCCATCCCTCTTAGAGTCCCATCCTCACCCCATAAGCAACACACAGTCCCTCTGAGCTTAAGAACGTTCTTTAATCCAACCAGTTCCCACCACCTCCCTATCAGCAATTGGATCAGGCCACTGTCCTCTGTGACACTGGTTGGCTAAATGATTGCCCTACTTTGGAAGACTTTGCGCCCTACATTCTGCTCTTAACAGAAGCCAGAGCAGTCCTTTGAAGACATGTCATGCAGTTTCTCTTCTTAAAACCCTCCAGTAGTTTACAGATTTATACAGAATGTAAAGCAAAGTCCTCTAAATGGTTACTGACTCCCATGAGACCCTTTCTGACTTCACGGCACTCCATTCTGCCCTGGCTCCCTGGGCTCTGACCTGCTAAGCACACTCCTGCCACACTGTGGGCCTTTACTGCCTCCTCTCCTTGGTGCTCCTGTCCCTCTCTCCCACCTCTGATTGATTCTGCACAGATGCTTTTTTTTTTTTTTTTTTTAACTTCCTTTAAGTCTATGCTCAAATACCACCTTATCAGAAAGGTCTTCCCTGACCATTCTCTACAAAATGCCTCCTTGGCGCCCTCATATGTTCACCTTACGCAACTGTTTTCCTTCTCGGTGCTTATTAGCAGTAGATTGTTTTTGTTGTTAGGTGTCATTGAGTTGGTACCGACTCATAGTGACCCCATGCACAACAGAATGAAACACTGCCCAGTCCTGGGCCAACCTCACAATCGCTGCTATGCTTGAGCCCATTGATATTGCCACTTTGCCAATCCATCTTGCTGGGGGGCTTCCTCTTTTTCTCCAACCTTTTCATTTTACCAAACATGATATCCTTCTCCAGTGACTGGTCCCTCCTGACAGTATGTCTGAAGTATGAGAGGTGAAGTTTGGCCATGTTGTCCTCCAAGGAGCACTCTGGCTGCACTTCTTCCAACACACATCTGTTGGTTCTTCTTCTTTGATCCTCCACTTGACCAAAGATGATAATCCTTTTCCTTTGACTGGTCCTTTGTGACTCCCATGACTAGAAGGCAAGCTCACTTCCTGAGGACAGGCGCTTTTATAAAATGTGTTCCCAAACTCTGCCCCAGTTGTTGTTTTTAGTTGCCATTGAATTGGCTCCTCCAACTCATGGTGCCCTGATGTAAAAGAGAACAAAACGTTACCCAGTGCTGTGGCATCATCATGATTTTTGATACGTTTGAAGCCATTGTTTTGGCTTTTGTGTCAATCCGTCTCATTGAGGGTTTCCCTCTTAAGCAAGGGTTTAGAACGTAAAGAAATCAAGGGCTCACCATTTCACTACTGGCTTTATTTTTCTAAGACTGATTTTTCTTCATGGAAATCCATGGTATAATCAGCATTCTTCGCCAACACAACAGTTCAAATGCATCAACTCTTCTGTCTTCGTTCTTCACTGTCTACTTTCCACATGCATTTGAGGCCATTGGAAAGACCATGGCTTGAGTCAAACACACCTTAGTCATCAAAATGACATCATTGCTTTTTTAGACCTTTGCAGAACTCTTTTGCTCAATGTTGTATGTCCTTGTTGTTGTTGCTGTTGTTAAGTGCTGTTGAGTCTGTCCTGACTCATAGCGACGCTGTATAGGGTTTCTGAGAAGCGGCTGGTGAGTTTG